GGGCACAGACCATGAAATCGCATTTCCCAACGAGTATGAAGTCCACAGCACACATTGGAGACATCGTTGTGACCAGAATTACAATGGGGAAACGATCCGAGCACAAACCATGAAATCGCGGTTCCCAACGAGTATGACGTCCAGAGCGCGCATTGTAGAAAGTTCAGAGGTGACATTCACGACATCATTGCGACCAGAACTATAATGGGGGAACGATCCGGGCACAGACCGGGCACAGACCTTGGAATCGCATTTCCCAATGAGTATGCGGTCCGGACCGCACATTGGCGACATCCTTGTGACCAGAATTATAATGGTGCGCCCAGCCGCGCTCAGACAAAATGTACGTTTCACCACACGTTCGTGCACTCGACACGCACGATCTCCGCAGAGGGTTGCTCGAGGGCAAACCTTGAAACCAGAATTACAATGGGGAAACGCAAAATCGACAAAACCTTGTCACCAGAATTATAATGGCGGAACGCACCGCGCACACCAAAAATGTACGTTTCACCACACGTTCGCGCGATCGACACGCACGATCTCCGCAGAGGGTTGCTCACGGACAAACGCGATTCGCGTCTCACCACACGCGCGCGCGATCGATGGCCACGATTCCACGAGAGGGTTGCGTTTCGTAAGACCTGCTCGCACCGCCCCGCCGCCTAAAGAGAAGAATAAAGAAGAAGTTGGGTAGGTGAAGTTGGGTAGGTGTCTTAAGGAAGATGTCTACACCTACCTATCTTCACCTACCTATCTTCACCTACCTATCTACACCTACCTACCTACACCTACCTGTCTATACCCACTTATCAATACCTACCTATCAATATCTACTTCTGATGTACTTTGATATTGTTGATCTGATACTTCTACTTCATATGTTATGTTGTGATGTGATATTATTTTATCACATGATATGAGATGATATGATCTGACATTGATGTGATGTGATATGATATTAAAACATGATATGATATGATATGTTATGACATTGATGTGATGTGATATGATATTATAACCTGATATGATATAATATGATATGATATGAGATTAATAACCTATGAGGTGATGATTAGATGATGATGTTGTGAGGGTGAAGTAGGAGAAAGTTAGTAAAGAATATG